GTGGGGGAGAGTGATCCAGAGGGGGGTTTCGGAGACCTCCGAGAAGATAGGGCTATATTCGGATGTATACACATACCTACATACATACCTATATACATGTTCAAATAGAAGCTGGAATGAACACTTGAAAAGAAGATCGAGAAGAGGGCGAGAAAATTGGAAGGAGTGGTATGGGTGTTGGTGGGGAGGGGGGCGGTGCGGATGGGCGGATGTAAGAAATGGCCCGGGGGGGGGGAGAGAGAGAGAGGGGTGGTCTCCGGATGGGATGGCGTTGCTGCCGGGGGCTGCATCGAATCGTAATGATGTATTCGGGGGAGAGAGAGAGCGGGAGGAGGAGAAGAAATTAGATTGAGGGCGCGCGGGTATGAGTGTGTAGAAGAAAAAACATGTGCAGGGGGAAAGGCTTCGGGGGTTTGGGACCTCCGAGGTGGTCAAACAGTTTGGAGCTGGAGTCTCCGCAAATGGAGGGGGAGGGGGATGTGGGGATGGGGAGGAGCGGTGAAGTGTGGAGGAGGGAGGAGTTTGGTGTTTTAGTTGGACAGTCGGCAGCAGCAAATGAGCGAACTGCTACTCGGCAGCAGGAGGAGGAGGCGATCTTCTGCTCGTGCCTATGCTGGGGGGCAGTTCAAGAGTTTTTTTAGCTCTTCTCGATTGTATGTCTGTATATTGTTCGCCTATGAGGTATTTTCCTACCTAGTTTTTTTGGCATATGTCTTAGGCCTCCTTACTCACTCATCTCATCTGCTATATGCGACTCCTCAACGTCCTCATGTTTCTTTTGGCGAGTCATGGAGTTTGTGTGTGGGGGTGTGGGGTGTGGGGATCGGGGGAAATACCTTTGTCTCAGATGCGTGGTCATAAAATGACCGCCTGACTGGACTGAGATCGATTGTTTTTTCGATTGGTGTGGGTGTGGGTAGTGTGAGGAGATTTATATATCGTAAATTTACGGTAAATTTACCACCTCGCTCTCTGCTTTTCCTGGACGTGGGGCCCCAAACCCCACTCCCCCTCGTCGTTTTTCATTATGGGCTATCCCGCCGCCCCGTAAGCGCGCTGTTCGTCTGTACATCTGTACGCATGTATACGGGTTGTAAGCTGAATATGATGCCACAGTGTACACACACACATACACACCAGCTGCAAGCTCCTTTTTTAATACATATTATTATTTCTTCGTATTACGTGGTCGTGTCAGTCGCCGAAAGCTCGGACGTCTTTCGCCCTATGTGAGAATCTTGGTATGGAGTTCTGATATGTTTCAGCGGCGGACACATTGTCAACACATGCAGCTTGGAACTGATACATACATACATACATACACCACTACACAGCCTGCAGGACCCCACCCCGCAGCACGAGGGGGAGACACCGCCCGACACTATCCGGGCAGAAAGGCCACCATCTGAGATGTCGTACTCGTACAACAACCTGCACACGTTCACACTTCCGAAAAAAGCCCTCGCCTCTTCTCCTCTCCCTTACACATACATACACACACATACACACAAACACACACAGAGGTCGTGTGCAGTGACGAGCTAGCTGCCCCCCGTCGCGGTCACGGAAACGCCGGCATCCTTGGCAATAGCCGACTTGGCATTAGCTGTAGCGGCGGCAGCAGTAGCTGTCGTACCTTGCCCGCCAGCCCGCCCCGACGGTTCTCGCCGCTGCCGCTGCCGCTGCCGCCACTCCCCTTTTTCCTGCCGGTCCTCCTTTTCCCGCACTAGCGGTGCCGTCGACGCTATTGATGGCGACCATGATGATGATGATGATGACGCGGTAGGTGGCGGTGAAGAGAATTTCCGCTCAGTCGCTTTCTGTCTTGTCACGTCGGCGGCTGGACGTGAGTAAGGCGGCAAGTACGGCGTTTCAAAGCCCAGCTTGATGACGAAAACCCAGCCGTCCCTGCCATTGAGCCTGGGCGCTGCGACGGAAGCCCTGTACAGCGTGGCCTCTGCCACCGCCTGTCGGCGGTGTATTTGTGTATTTGTGTGTGGGGGAGGGTGTGTGGAGGGGGGTGTTGCGGATGTTGGGAGGAGGGCGAAAGACCAAAGCTAGGACGCTTATCTCGCGTGGTCACACAGCAAAGCCGTACCACCCCGGTATGCCCAGATGGGCCCCTTGGCGTCGTTACATTGCTTGCTAATATCAGCATAAGACAGAAGGCCGCCGCCGGCAGGCCGCCACGTGTCGCGGGCATTCCCCCTCCCCCTCCTCTCCCCCTCTTGTCTCTCTCCCCCCCCTCACCCGCACCCCACCACCAGCGCTCCCACCAGCGCACACACACCTTTTGTCTCTCCTCCCGGAGACGCTTCTGAAGCAACCCCAGCGCCGTCAACATAGTTGGACCCTGACCCAGATCCGCAGTCACGATAATCCACGGGGGTGGCAGTGGCGGCTGCTGCTGCTGCTGATGATGATGATGATGCCGTCCTCTTCCGCTAAATCGCTCTTCCATCGCATCGTCCGCTGGGAACAGCGTGCGGTCGAGATGTAGAGAAGATGCGTAATCCTGGTGGCCCAGCCGCGCTTGTTCTGCCGCCGTCCCTTCATCTTCATCGTCATCTTCCTCCAACTCTTGCTGCTGCTGACGCAGCAACAGCTCCGAATCCTCCTCCGCCTGCTGTGCCAACAGGGCGCCGTACAGTGTGTCCGCCAAGTCGTACGCCTGCTCCTCATCCACGTCACCCTTCATGTCCCAGGCTTGTCGTACATTGATAGACAGATCCAGTAGAAAACGCGTTCGACGCATGGCGGCCTGCCAGTAGGGCCCAGGGGGGGGGGGCCAGGGGTGAGGGGGAATATAAATGCGACCTCGTAATTTGAAAACTTCAAATAGCGGAGGAGAGCGAGAACCGCTTCCAACCGCTTTCAACCGCTCCACAAGACTTCAGAAAATGAGACGGCGGCGGCCTGGTGGCCAGGATTAGTTACCAGGCCGGATCGCGAAGCTGCAGCAGCGGGGTTGGGGGGGGAGGGAGGGAATGGGGGAGGGAGGGCCCCAAATTCCCCCGTCAAAAAACTTCACATATAACACCTATATACTAACTAACTAACACCTATATACTAACTAACGATTTATATAGCAACTAACATACCAACTAACTAACTATGTATATAGGTAAAGTGCCCCTAGTCGATGGACGGTGGTGACCTGGGATAAAGTTGACTCGCGAGCCGACCAGCTTTCCTAAGGCCGAAGAAAGCCCAGCCGCTCACTCAGCGACGGAGACACCTACCGTCAGCTCCTTATCACACGTCCCCTGGGATCTCGCGCGCGCCATAACCCGGTACACGAACGACACGTCGCCCGATTGAGGCCGCTCGTCCAACGGCGATGGCTTGCCGTACTCCACCTGTACGGCATGCACACGCGCGCGGCGGCAACACATGCGTTCAAAAGCCACCACCATGAGGCGCCAACAGCCCCTACCACCACCCCGCCCTTCATGCTTTACGCCACAGAAGCCACGTGAATGAGCTCCCACACGTCGTACGGCACAGTACGGCAGTCAACGCGCGGTCTGTAAAATATGTGATGATAATTCAAAATCTTCCAAGCTTCCAAACTTTTTTTACCAGTTTTTTACCAGTTTGAACCGGTCCGCCTCACCTGCCTTACGTCGACTACAAAACTAAGCCCCCTCTGGTAGCCCCCCATAAACATGTTCGCCAAGGTTAGGGTTCGCAGCCCTTTGAGCGCTCCGGCGCCGCCGTCGAAGCGCACCACCGCACGTTGCTCCATTCCCAGGGCGTGCGACAGCGCCGACGCGGCGGCTGCGGAGGGCGTATCTCCAACCACCTTAACCAGCTGACGGCCGTCGGGCAGGCGGATGGGAGAGAAGGCCGCGCCTCCGCCTCCATCGTCGCCGTCGCCGTCGCCACGTCCATCACCGACGGTGGTGGTGGTAGTGGTAGTGGTGGAGGTGCCGCCACTGCCGCCGTCACTGTTCCCCAACGGCTTCCTACCACCATCACCACCGCTTTTGGCAGCGGCGGCGGCAATGTCCAGGATAGATTTCGTAACGGGGCGAGAGGATTCTCCGGTGCTGCCGGCAGTGGCGGCGGCGGCAGTGGCGGCAGGGGGAGCTACAGCTGCTGAGATCGAGCTTGATGACGAGGTGCGGCTTTGCGCGGTCCTCCGTTCCCGAGCGACCCTGCCGCTGTCGCCACCCCCGGCGCCCAGGAAGCTTCCCGAACCTCTAGCGCTATGGCCGACCGGAGCCACACGGAGTCCGCCGTCAGCTATCCCTCTTACTTCACCATCATCAGCAGCAGCGACAACAGTACCAGCAGTGCCAGTGCGAGTACCGGTATCAATACCAGCATTAGCACTAGCGGACGCGCCGTTGAGGTTCGCACCTACGCTGTTTGCTCCGTCTTGAACAGCTACCTTCTCGTTCTTGGATGTGCGGGCTTTGGACCTCCGGCGATGATGGCGACTGGAGGGAGAGCCCCTGCTGGCGAGCCTGCGGGCGTCGGCGCCTTGTTCTGAGGCCGTAGTGATGTCAGAACGGCCTTCGTCTTTGTTGTCAGGGGAATCGATTTGGAAAGACGCGGCGGCGGATTGCCGTGTTGCCGCGGGAGGGAGTGGCAGGCGGGAGTTGGGGAGGCAGCCTTGCGGTACGGGTCGGGAAGGTGTGCCATGGCGGGTGGCACGGACTTGCGCTGCAGATGCCGATGGCGCTGTATGCGTCCTTGTCAAGGCTAACCGTCTGTAGGATGATGTTGCAGTTGTTGTTGTTGTTGCTGCCGCCGCTGCGATGGAGGATGGGCCTGGGCCAGCGAGGCTGCGTGCATCGGAAGAGGCAACAGGGGTTGGGAAGCAGACCAAATGCGCCATCGTCCCCCCCCCCAGGTGTTATGTTAGCCATGTTATGAAGCAGTTAGGATCTTGCTTATGGAACAAGTTTGGGAAGGGGATACTTACGCACAATCCGCAAACTGCTTGCACACATGGTCACCCACCGCTTTGCTTCAAATTAAGCACTCACATCTGCCATGTTTTGTGATAAGCTTCTAGAATGGACCGCAATTGTGCAACTGACCTGTCGTCGCGCACTGGCGTCAGCCCTCGCCCGCAGCTGCGGCGCACCCCCCCCGAAATCCAGGACCGGGGATCATCAACATGACGAGGTTTGAATCTTTTCAACATCTTATATTATTATCGTGGTGTGCTTTGAAAAGATCTGATTCGTCAGCCTGAGAACCTTTGCGCAGCCTAGGCCCTAACGATTATATCTTATCGTTACGGCCAACATGGATGCATCCTTTATCGTATATAAATTAAAATTGATAACTTAACTTTATGCAAAGATTTGTTATCAAACTGAGAAGGGACCCAAGTCGCGTCCACGGGTCCACGCCAAGCTCTTCATCACTATGATCTAGAATGTCACAAGATTATCGCATCCCATACAAAGCATAGATACGGCGTGGTCCGCGAGTCGGTCATCCATCTAAATTGCGATGCCGTACGGTTACTAAAATAAGCTTGCGGCTTTGCGCGTCAGCAGAGGCTCCAAGTCACTGTGGTCTGCTGGACAAGATCGAAAGAAGACGATTGGATCGAAGCTGAGAGAGTGGCCGGTGGATGTCGAGATGAAAGTTACTGTTCCCGTGGCTGCTGGAAACAGGCAGGCCTGATGCCTTGCTAAGCGAACGATTCAACCCACGCACAAGCTACCTGAGCACTGTTGTAACTCTCTGCTCGAATAAGAAGGCAACAACAACAATAACAACAACAAGACATCCGGAGCTTGGCAGAGCTATTACTAAAAACCGCTACGTTCCCGCGTTTCCTGATTTTTCCTTCGCCTCTCTCCTTTTCCCAAGTGATAAAACTCCAGGTCCCAGATGCGCGCCGCTTCGTCCATGCCATCCCAGCCCAGCACTACCAGGTGTACAGAGGACAGCAGGCGTGTTTACCCCCAGATGCGCACTGGGCGTATGACAGGAGAGAGTAGACAGGCACGAGGGGCTACGAACATGCCACTTGAGACGTCATAACGGGGTCCTATTGGCCCTCTTCACATCTGGATGACTGACTCGATGCAGTTAGTTAGTCAGTTAGTCTGTTAAATAGTCAGCTAGTCAGTAAGAATTCATCCCTACGCCCTTCGACGGCGGCGGCGGCTTTACACCGCCACCACCCAAGGCCCCCGCCTCCTGTTTTAGCCTGGTCAGGGTGGGCATACCCAACCTACCCTAAGATATAACCAGCCGCTACGCATGTGCTGCCAACATCAAGGGGTCGAACATAACCTTATTTTAAGTAAGGTAAAAAGAAAAATGGACAAGAGGTGATGAAAGGCAGTCGCACAAATGTGCGCTCTCCGCCCTCACACTGTCGTGCATAACCAGAGGGGCATCCGAATTTCGAAAAAGATGATAGCTGATGATGATGATGCTCTCAAGGGCTCAAAGGGCCGACAGAGGGAGGGAGAAGGAATTGACCTGCTGCCCGTTCCCTCCTCCCATTCCCTTTTGAGGGCTATCCGCAATTAGCGACCTCGCGACGTCTACTACCACCTGAATCACCATCACCATCATTCGCACTTGCACCACCAACACCACTCCGAGCGAAATGCAGCGTGACCGCCTCCTCTCTTTCCTCCCTCCAAGAAAATGCCCCCCACACACACAACACATGCCACACGCAAGTAACGCCTGTGCACAAACATAAAAATACTCAGCAACACACAAAGTGAAAGAGAAAGTGAAAGAGAGGGGGGAAGGTAAGAGACAATATAGCAGAATCGTCCCAAATATATGCACTGCCATCAGTCGTCTTCGCCAGCAGTACGACAAGATGACACGTCATGCATACGTCATGTCAACGACAGCACCAACAAAAGCACATAAAAAAAGGAGTTCCTTGCTTTGCCACTCGCATCGGGGGGGCAATGGCACGATTTCCTCTTTTTTGTTACCCTGTTTTTGCGCAAAATCCATCCCAGCCATCCCCTGCTTTCTCCATTCCGAATCTCCTCCTAGGCCATCTCCATAATACTGGATTCACATGCTACGTTACGTTGCGAAAACTTTTAGGTAAAAGTGGCTCTGAGAAAGTCACCCAGTTCACACGGGACATTACGACGACGTTGTATTCGTTGGCGCGAGCTGTGTCAAACCATCTCCATTTTATGTCTTTCAATGGCCAAAACTTCAGAACATCCCCTTAGAATTGCAAGATATATTTGAAGGGTGATTGGCAGCCCTGCCTACTGCAATCGCACTGCATCCCGCGCGAGCCGCGATGGCGTTTGCCCTAGGGGTCGCGCTGGATGAAATTTTTGATAATCTTGAAGATATGTTCAATGCTCAGTGGCAGAGATTGAGCGTGTGGGCCGACGCGGCGCGGCCCATGCCGCCGGAAGTGCGGCCGACTTGCCGTTTCGCGGGTGGCTTCAGCCCTGATACTACAATGGGTTACATATTGGCTATGTAAGCGGTCGTGAGCGGTCGAGCAACACGAGCGGCGTTGTCCTTGTTCATTTTTATAATATAAGGCAGCGGTGTGACTAGAAATTCAGTCGGAGTGCAAAGCGCGCACAATTTGTCAAGTATGTGGTCTTTATAAGCGATTGGGCTTGGCCGTTTGTTATAACTCGCGAAATTGGCGACGCATTTCAAGTAACGGTACGAGGGGTCAGCGTTTGACGAAATTGACCCCCCCCCCCCTGGTCACTTTAGACTTTTCGTCCACTTTACCGGTAACGTACCGTTACCACGTCCGAACCGACCACTTTTTCCAAAAAGTTTCAACGTAACGTAGCATGTGAACTGGCTATAACATTCCTCCTCTCCTTCCATTTCCCCGTCCGGCCGCATACATACGTGCGAAATGCTGAAACGCGCAGTCATCCTTTTGCCCCTGCACGTTTCGATGTCGCGTCTTTGCTCTTTCCTTCTTTTCCCAAGCGCGCGCCGAAACCAACTGTCGGTCTGGAGGTCTTCTGCAGTGTAGGGCTCAGGGATTCTCGGAGAGAACGGAAGACGGAGAGGCCTGCGGGGGGACCTAGGACTGAGTCTGCACACAACCCTGAAGAGTCCGCACACCAGACCAGACCAGGACAAGACAACAGGAGACCGTCCACATTCGACGATTCCCATTCGCGCCGCGGTCCCCAATGCTCACCAAGAGAAATGAAAACCTGCCCGCACACAGATACCGACACCCACCACACACACACACACAAGCCGCACAAAACACAAGTAAACATGTATAGATACCGACGGAGACATTTATATATTCGCACAAGCAGCATTAAATACGCCGGTTGATTGACGCACACACACGTCTCTCGCGCACACAAACACGAACGCAGAAGGCGCAAACAAGGGTGGGAAAGCGCGTATGCAGGAGCAGGGCCCCTCCGTCACTCCAAAGGCTTTTAAAGCCCTTACGACAGATCACACCACACAGCAGCTGTCGTATCGTTCTCTTTTGCCAGTGAGTCACCGCTGCTGTGTTCACAATATGTTATTATCTGCAAAATGCGAAATGCAAGGTCCAAATGCTGCGGGGTTAAAATGTCGTCTGCCGGCATCGCACCACCTCCACCCCCCCACACACACACCCTCTGCGACCCAAACATCGCCTCTCCCTTTTTCCCGCCTCTCCCGCCCAGTCTCCGCCGCCATCACGGTCGCGCAGCAGTAGAGCATAGCTACTGCTGCTGCTGCTACTACTACTACTACTACTACTACTACTACTACTACTACTACTACTACTACTGCTGCTGCTGCTACTATTACCCCCTATAGCTTTCAAATACGAGGCAACCATGGCTTTCCAAACGACCCAGCTGAATGGCGGCTCTCGCGCGTCAACCGTCTAACCGTCCAGCAAACGCGCCGATGAGATGCCCAAGGGTGTTGGGAGGGCGGGGAGACAAGAGAAGACGAACCACGAACGAGTTGGGAGGGGGCCGGGGAAGGTGGGTATTCGCAGCTCAGCAGCCGCCGTCCACCCGGCCCACATCACCGAGGCAGCAGCGGGCGGCGCATGTCCCCCCCCTCCCCCTGGGCCCCCGACAACCCCCCTGCTGAGCCCCCTCCTGCTAGTGCGATGTGGTCCAGGGAGGGGCTGTACAACATCTTGCTGCGGGTCTCCCCGGGCTTGCCCTTGTCGCCAAACGTGAAGAACTGAGAACAACAACAACAAAAAGAAGAAGGGGGAAAGCGAGAAGGGGGAGGGGGAAGGGAAAGGGGAGGAGGTAAAGAGGCAGGGGAAGTAAAGGTTATTTAAAAAAAATTGTCGAGGCGTGGCGCCGTACAGAAGAGGGGGAAATATGTTTTTTTAAATGAAAAAAAGTTGGCGGAGGCCTTGGAAGCTTCTCCCGGGGTTGGAGCCCTCCAGCCGATCCTCCTCCCTACCTGGGATTCGCTCGCTCGCTCGCTCGACCCCCCCCCACACACATACACAACACTCCTCATTCCCTCTTTCCTTGCCAGCAGCTTCACTCCTTCGTGGTTCATCTTTTCCCCCCTTTCCACGTCCCCTGCAGTCACTGTAGACACTAGGATTGGAACAACTCCTAGGGGCATTCGCGTCTCAATTCGAATCACACTCAGGTCCCTGCCGTACTGTCGTACCTTTCAGCAAACCCACCTCACTTTTCCTCCGTAACACACACGCACCCCGCAATACCCGGCAAACCCCGTCAATGCCCCCCACACTGACGGACCTGGTGCATGGACACAAACACAATCGACACCCCCAGGAAGAAGTTGATGGTGAGCTCGTGGCCAAACATGGCGAACGACAGCAGTGCCGTCCAGATGGTGGCGATGGTGGACGAGTACTTTTTGAGGATGGTGTCCGCAAACTTGTAAAAGAAGGATGACAGCAACCCCTGAGCGGCGTTGTTGGCGATGAGCAGGTACGTGATCAGGGACAGACCTGCGGTGTGAGGCGAGCGGGGCGGGGCGGGGGTGTGAGGCGGGGTATGTATGTATGTACGTACGTACGGCAGATCCTGCCACAAGGTTCGCAACCCCCGCCCCGCACCTTCCCCGGCGGTGCCAACTTGTCGCTTGTCGCAGCCAACTAACGTCGCCAAACTGCCGGCCCCAAACCAGGGGCCCCCCATCACCGCGCCGAACGGACAGAGATCGGGCCCCCTTCCCCCTTCACCCCCCGACCTACCCTGAAACATCTGCCCCAACGCTTGCTTCTGACGAAAAGCTGTAACCGCCAGAAAACCGAAATTGAAAACCGCCCCGTAGAGGTATAGGAAGAAGTTCTGCAATGTTGTTGGTCATTCAGCAGGTCGGGCGGTTGGGTGGTTGAAATGAGGTGGCCACGGGAGGAAAGGGACGGTGGAGACGAAAGAGGGGAAAGAGGGAAGTCTAGGTTTAGGGTTCAGTCGGTTGCGTGTGTTCGGAAAAGGTACCAGATGTACACACGGTAAACTCAACTCAAGACGCGTACGGCTCCCTACCATATGCCTCCTCATCTCGGCCAGTAAATACTCCTGACGCAGTATTTGTCTCCTCCTCCTTCTGGACTATATCCGTCCATCTCCGTCCGTATCTGCTTCAATCGTCAGTGGTTCCTCCTTACCCCCCTGGCCCCCGCCCTTCCCATTACACCACCTCGACGTGTTTTCTTCACGGCGTCCCTTCCCCCCTTTCCACCCCCGAGCCTCTCTTTCCTTTCCCCCTCCCCTTCCCCCGTCCACACATACGCACATACATACATACATACATACGTGCAAACGCACCTGCAGATGCACGCTCGTGTCCATGTGTTTTTTCAGTGCAAACTCGTTGTACACCGAGGCGGCCGCCGGCACCGTGACGGTCCCCAGAGTGCAGAGTGCCGCGGGTAGCAGGGGCACGTGCAAGTCGGGGTTGGGGGCGGAGCCGCACGATTGGAGCTGGTTGATGGTGATACCTGCGTACGTACGTACATATGAGTGTATGTATGTATGTATGTATGTTGGTAGTGGTGGAGGTCAACTGGGTGTGTCTGGATGGCCCGTGTCCTCTGTGTGTATGTGTCTGTATGTTTTGAAATCGCTAATGTCTGGCTTGCTAGCACTCTCCTAAAACCCTTTCCCCCTCCCTTTCTCCCTCCCGAGGTCGCCGCCTACAAGAACGCCTACTGGTCAGTCCTGCTTCTTGTACACTCTTTCCTTGGCAGCAGCTTCATTCGTTCGTGGGTCTTTCCCCC